ATGCCTAGAAGATACCTAGAAGATACCTAGAAGATACCTAGAAGATGCCTAGAAGATACCTAGAAGATACCTAGAAGATAGATACCTAGAAGATGCCTAGAAGATGCCTAGAAGATGCCTAGAAGATACCTAGAAGATACCTAGAAGATACCTAGAAGATGCCTAGAAGATACCTAGAAGATACCTGGAAGATACCTGTCCGTGCAGCTTTGTTTTCCCTTCTGTCTCTTGGTGAACGATTGTCTTCTTTTACCTTTTCGGGTGTCGAGATATAAAGTTCTGCTTCGTACTCCTATGGCTGATGAATAAGTGTATGATAACTTAGTCCTCTCTTTTTCTTGATGTTGTTATTCTAGGTTCTTTAATGACTTCTTCTTCTATGACTACCCTCCTTCTCACCCCAAACCCCCCCCCCCCCTCCCCCACCCTCAATATTCCTTGAAGCCCAGTCTTTGCAATCGAATAATGTCTCACCCATACCAAAAACAAACTAGCTTGCGACGTTTCACCACTGCAAAAGAGGCTCCGGAAATGTTGCAAATTATTATTTTGTCTCTGGCATATTTATTAGTGTTGTGTTCTAAATAACTAATTCTTAAAATGAGTTTATAGCATTTACATTCAAAAGCCTGAATCTTCTTTCCGTTTCCACAGTGAGAGTCAAACTCTCAAGAATCTTTCAAAATAGGGAAAACTAAGCGAATCTATGTCTTGTCAGATCTGTGTGTTGAACTAAGCGAACCTTGTTTCGTCAGATCTTTGTGTTGAACTAAGCTAATCTTGTTTCGTCAGATCTTTGTGTTGAACTAAGCGAATCTATGTCTTATCAGATCTTTGTGTTGAACTAAGCGAATCTTGTTTTGTCAGATCTTTGTGTTGAACTAAGCGAATCTATGTCTTGTCAGATCTTTGTGTTGAACTAAGCGAATCTTGTTTTGTCAGATCTTTGTGTTGAACTAAGCGAATCTTGTCTTGTCAGATCTTTGTGTTGAACTAAGCGAATCTTGTTTCGTCAGATCTTTGTGTTGAACTAAGCGAATCTTGTTTTGTCAGATCTTTGTGTTGAACTAAGCGAATCTTGTTTTGTCAGATCTTTGTGTTGAACTAAGCGAATCTATGTCTTATCAGATCTTTGTGTTGAACTAAGCGAATCTTGTTTTGTCAGATCTTTGTGTTGAACTAAGCGAATCTTGTTTTGTCAGATCTTTGTGTTGAACTAAGCGAATCTTGTTTTGTCAGATCTTTGTGTTGAACTAAGCGAATCTTGTCTTGTCAGATCTTTGTGTTAGACTAAATGGATCTTTTCTTGTCAGATCTTTGTGTTAAACTAAGTGAATCTTGTCTTTTCAGATCTTTGTGTCGAAATAAATGAATTTTGTCTTGTCAGATCGTTGTGTTGGACTAAGTGAATCTTGTCTTGTTAGATCTTTGTGTTGAACTAAGTGAATCTTGTCTTGCCAGATCTTTGTGTTAAACTAAGGGAATCTTGTCTTGTCAGATCTTTGTTTTGGACTAAGCGAATCTTTTCTTGTCAGATCTTTGTGTCGAACTAAATGAATCTTGTCTTGTCAGATCTTTGTGTTGGACTAAGTGAATCTTTTCTTGTCAGATCTTTGTGTTGAACTAAGCGAATCTTTTGTCAGATCTTTGTGTTGGACTAAGTGAATCTTGTCTTGTCAGATCTTTGAGCTGAACTAAGCGAATCTGGTCGAGTCAGATCTTTTTGTTGAATTCGTTCTTCTCTGGGTAATTCTGCTTGGCATAATCATGGAAGTGCGTCAGTCCACTCGTCAGGTTAATTAATATCAATACCGCGTGGATACTCTTACATTAAAAGTATCTACTGCCTTACATAGCCACTCCTCTGTAGCTTCTACATTTTTTAAGCCTTTGCATTATTGTGAGGCCCTACACTTTAGCTTATTTAGCTTACGCATAAATCCAGTCACACTACTATCAGACAACCTGTCCGTCACTTGTCACACTGATGTCAGACAACCTATCCGTCACTGGTCACATTCCTGTCAGACAACCTGCCAGTCACAGGTCACACTACTATCAGACAACCTGCCAGTCACTGGTCAAACTCCTGTCAGACAACCTGCCCGTCACTGGTCACACTCCTGTCAGACAACCTGTCCGTCACTGGTCACACTGTTGTCAGACAACCTGTCCGTCACTGGTCACACTCCTGTCAGACAACCTGTCCGTCACTGGTCACACCCCTGTCAGACAACCTGCCAGTCACTGGTCACACTCATGTCAGACAACCTGTCCGTCACTGGTCACACTGTTTTCAGACAACCTGTCAGTCACTGGTCACACTCCTGCCAGACAAACTGTCAGTCACTGGTCACACTCCTGTCAGACAACCTGTCAGTCACTGGTCACACTCCAGTCAGACAACCTGTCCGTCACTGATCACACTACTGTCAGACAACCTGTCCGTCACTGGTCACATTGCTGTCAGACAACCTGTCTGTCACTGGTGACACTGCTGTCAGACAACCTAGTCTAGGAACGCCAGGGCCTCTTCCAGCCCTGATACTTCTTTTTATTGCCTTCACCAGCTGTAAACTCTGGTGGAAAGTTCTGGTTGCTCGTCCACTCCTGGACTGCAGTCCCGTTCCAGAACCTGAGTGTTGCGTGTGCATCCATTAGACAGATCTGACACTAAATATGACTAGTAGTCACATAATGACAAGTCAAACCAATTATCGTGCTGATTATATATAAACATGGACAGGATAAGTACTGCGCTAGAACTTAATTCACATGTCTTTTTGTGTGTGTGTGTGACAGATCGACGACTGATTACCAGCTGACAGACACACAAGCCTCAGGCTGTCCCAAAGATGAATGACTACACATCCTCCAGAATGCCAGTTTGGACTGTCCCAGGGCCCACAGCTCTGGCCTGTGGCGTCTCCCTGGTCCTGGCAGCCGTGGCGGTGGCCATCTACTGGTGTCAAAGGTCAAGTGGAGGTCAATGGCGTGGCTACGGAGTCACCTGTCCCACAATCCCTCAGTTTTATTTTGTCACAGGTGATTTTAGGTCAGTGTTGAATTTCACACCCTACTTGTTTGACAATGTCTGTGTATGTGTGAAAGAGTGAAAGAGAGGGGGGTAAAGAGGAGACCGGAGAGAGAGAGAGAAAGAGAGAGAGAGAGAGAGAGAGAGAGAGAGAGAGAGAAAGAGAGAGAGACTAGACTGTACCAGTATAGAGCTGCAACTTTATAAAAATATATGTTTGAATAGTTTAAACATCGGGAGTATTTATGTGAACTCTCCTTACAAGCATTAACATACAAACACACACCCAGAAACACACACACACACACACGCGCGTGCGCGCGCACACACACACAGGCTTGCACTTCCATGATGAAACCAACCTACACAAGAATATGGCAGTGATCCGCCCCTGCCTTCAGTAATCGGGTTGTGGCGACGTCTCATGAGCGAAGAGGTCATGACATGGAACTAGAGTGTCAGTCAATGACAGGGAACTAGAGTGTCCAGTCAATGACAGGGAACTATTGTCCAGTCAATGACAGGGAACTAGTGTCCAGTCAATGACAGGGACTAGACTGTTCAGTCAATAAAAGGGAACTAGAGTGTCCAGTCGATGACACAGGACTGCTGTGTCCTGCCAATAACAGGTTGCAAGAGTGTCCAGTCGATGGCACGAGACTACAGTGTCCAGTCAATGCCAGGGAACTAGTGTGTGCAGTCAGTGACAGGGAACTAGTGTCCAGTCAATGACAGGAAACTAGAGTGTCCAGTCAATAAAAGGGAACTAGAGTGTCCAGTCGATGACACAGGACTGCTGTGTCCTGCCAATAACAGGTTGCAATAGTGTCCAGTCGATGGCACGAGACTAGAGTGCCCAGTCAATGACAGGGTTCTACAGTGAGTCAAACAAACAGTAGGTCACATTCTATTGATAACTTTCTTGGACTGGTCTAACCGGTTAGACGTTAAGGGTGTGCCGCTTTTTTTGTACGCTTTCTGAGATGTCTTGCATTTACATTTTCATTCCGAGAAAGAGAACGCCTGTGTTTCATATATCTATAAAAGTGTTTTGTGTTAGACCCAGTTTCTCAATGTCTTTGGAGTGTTAAAAGCGCTTGAATGATGAAATATAGAAGCGATATCAACGGCATTGGGAAACACCCCCGTGACCTTGTGCCAATGTCGGGTGGCTCAAGGTCGACCAATCAGAAGTAAGAAAGGCTGAAGGTCGACCAACCGGAAGTGAGCTAGTGTGTATATGAGCTGTCCGTGAGGAGTCCAATGTTTCTCTTACCCTATAGGGTCCACTCTAAGACAAGTGACTAGAGTGTCCAGTAACAGTAATGTTGCTCTCCTCATTTATAGTGTTACACACTAGCTCACTTCTGATTGGTCGACCTTCAGCCTAGCTCACTTCTGATTGGTCGACCTTGTCACAAGGTTACGGAGTGTTCCGCAATGCCGTTGATATCGCGTTTTCTATATTTCAGCATTCCATCGCTTTTAAAACTCAAAAAACATTGACAAACTAGGTCTAATACAAAAGCCCTTTAAAAAGTGATAAAACCCATGTCACAGGCATTCTCTTTCTCGAAATAAAAACGTAAATGCAAAACAGTTCAAAAAGCAAACCACAGAGCGGTATACCCGTAACCTGCAGGAAGGTAGACCAGACCAATAAACTTATCAATGGAACGTGACCTACTTTGTTAGGGGAGACTAACGTTTGTTTAAATGAATGTCCAGTCTCTCTCTAACTTTCTCTCTAACTTCCTATGTACGAAATAGATTGTAACAATCTCTCCTGATTTATGTGTGCATTCTTTAATAAAATGTTTTAGCTGTCTTTTGAAACTAATGCAATCTATCCTACCGTAGAGTAAAAATCACAGATCTTCTGAACCAGTATGGCGACACAATTGGGTTAGAACAAGGCTCCCGGCTAGTTCTCATAACCTGCAACCTTGAACTCTTGAAGAACATCATGGTCAAGGACTTCAACAACTTCCAGGACCGGTCAGGCAACTTCTTGACCAGCACCCCGCTTGCCAAGTCCTTGTTCTTCGCCAGAGGCAGCGGTTGGCGGCGCCATAGACAAATTGTCTCCCCGACTTTCACCACGGCCAAGCTGAAGCAGATAGCGACGTTGGTGGACATCTCTGCACAGTCACTGAGCAGGTACCTGGGCCAGTCAGCCAGACAAGGGGCTGTAGTTCCCATGAAGGAGATCTGTGGACAATATACCTGTGAGATCATCGCCCGGACTGCCTTCGGGTTCAAGGTCGATTGCATCGGTGTTGACGACGAATTTTACAACAATGCTAAAAACCTCTTGTACTTAAGTCGTAAAACGATCAGTCAGCTTTTAAGGTTAATTCCTTTCATTCCACAACTTTGTGTCAAAGTCTTCAAGCTACAAATCTACGACCGTGTTAATTTAAAGTCGCACAGATATTTTGACACTGTTTTAAAATCAGCAATAAAAGAAAGGAGGATACATCGCCAGTCTGGCATAAGAAAAGCAACCCCCGATTTTCTGGATCTGCTTCTGAAAACCAACGAGGCCTCACAAAGCGGCCAGGTCAACAGAGACGAGGTAGATGTTGCAGATTCCACCACAGATGCAGAGGGACAGCCAGTAGAAGGCCTCACGGATGAGGAGATCCTGGGTCACTCCATGCTGGTCATTTTTGCTGGACTGGAATCCACTGCCTCCACATTGCACGTGTGCCTTTACGAACTGGCCTTGAACCCTGACATCCAGGTAAGCAACGTGGTTGCGCATTTGTGTTTACCCATGGCAACTTCTACAACCATGTCTGCTTGTTTATGCCAATGATACACAAGTTGAAGTCGACAAACAACGATTTGGTGAGTGTGTTTTGTGCAGAAAAACATCTGTAAAGCTTAGTGACAACCTGATAAAATTGATCGGAAAAGCGTCATGGGTAGACTACAAAATGTCTAGATAGATTACGTGGCCACTTGACATAAATTAGCTCACACGTGACCCGCCACTGTTGAGCTTAAGAGCTGGTGATCGTATGAGTGACTGGTCATGTAAACATGAACTAGTGATTGTGTAAGCTGGTGATCGTGTGAGTTACTGGTCATGTGAACTACTGACTGTGTAAGCTAGTGATCGTGTCTGTGACTGGTCATGTGAACGTGAACTAGTGACTGTGTGAGCTGGTGATCGTGTAAGTTACTGGTCATGTGAACTAGTGATTGTGTTAGCTGTTGATCGTGTAAGTTACTGGTCATGTGAACTAGTGACTGTGTGAGCTGGTGATCGTGTAAGTTACTGGTCATGTGAATAGTGACTGTGTGAGCTGGTGATCGTGTGAGTTACTGGTCATGTGAACTAGTGATTGTGTATGTGAACGTGAACTAGTGATTGTGTAAGCTGGTAATCGTGTGAGTTACTGGTCATGTGAACGTGAACTAGTGATTGTGTAAGCTGGTGATCGTGTGAGTGACTGTTCATGTGAACTAGTGACTGTGTAAGCGGGTGATCGTGTCAGTTACTGGTAGTGTGAACTAGTGACTGTGTGAGCTGGTGATCGTGTCAGTTACTGGTCATGTGAACTAGTGATTGTGTAAGCTGGTGATCGTGTGAGTGACTGGTCATGTGGACTAGTGATTGTGTAAGCTGGTGATCGTGTCAGTTACAGTTCATGTGAACGTGAACTAGTAACTGTGTGAGCTGATGGTCGTGTGAGTTACTGGTCATGTGGATTAGTGATTGTTTAAGCTTGTGATCGTGTAAGTTACTGGTCATGTGAACTAGTGATTTTGTAAGCTGGAATCGTGTGAGTTACTGGTCATGTGAACTAGTGATTGTGTAAGCTGGGATCGTGTGAGTTACTGGTCATGTGAACTAGTGATTTTGTAAGCTGGGATCGTGTGAGTTACTGGTCATGTGAACTAGGTGAACTAGTGATTGTGTAAGCTGGTGGTCGTGTAAGTTACTGGTCAAGTGAACTAGTGACTGTGTGAGCTGGTGATCGTGTGTGTTACAGGTCATGTGAAAATGAACTTTTGACTGTGTAAGCTGGTGGTCGTGTAAGTTACTAGTCATGTGAACTGAACTATTGACTGTGTAAGCTGGTGATCGTGCGAGTTATTGGTCATGTGAACTAGTGACTGTGTAAGCTGTTGATCGTGTAAGTTGCTGGTCATGTGAACGTGAATTGGTCACTGTGTAAGCTGGTGATCGTGTGAGTTACTGGTCATGTGAACGTAAACTAGTAACTGTGTGAGCTGGTGATCGTGTGAGTTACTGGTCATGTGAACGTGAACTAGTAACTGTGTAAGCTGGTGATCGTGTGAGTTACTGGTCATGTGAACGTGAACTAGTAACTGTGTAAGCTGGTGATCGTGTGAGTTACTGGTCATGTAAACTGGTGATTGTGTAAGCTGGTGATCGTGTCAGTTACTGGTCATGTGAAATAGTGATTGTGAAAGCTGGTGATCGTGTGTGTTACAGGTCATGTAAAAATTAACTAGTGACTGTGTAAGCTGGTGATCGTGTGAGTTACTGGTCATGTGAACTAGTGACTGTGTGAGCTGGTGATCGTGTGAGTTACTAGTCATGTGAACTGAACTATTGACTGTGTAAGCTGGTGATCGTGCGAGTTACTGGTCATGTGAACTAGTGACTGTGTAAGATGGTGATCGTGTGAGTTACTGGTCATGTGAACGTGAACAAGTGAAAGTGGGAGCTGGTGATCGTGTGAGTTACTAGTCATGTGAACGTGAATTAGTGACTGTGTAAGCTGGTGATGGTGTGAGTTACTGGTCATGTGAACGTGAACTAGTGACTATGTAAGCTGGTGATCGTGTGAGTTACTGGTCATGTGAACGTGAACTAGTGACTATGTAAGCTGGGGATCGTGTGAGTTACTGGTCATGTGAACGTGAACTAGTGACTGTGTAAGCTGGTGGTCGTGTGAGTTACTGGTTATGTGAACGTGAACTAGTGACTATGTAAGCTGGTGATCGTGTGAGTTACTGGTCATGTGAACGTGAACTAGTGACTGTGTAAGCTGGTGATTGTGTGAGTTACTGGTCATGTGAACTAGTGACTGTGTAAGCTGATGACCGTGTGAGTTACTGGTCATGTGAACGTGAACTAGTGATTGTGTAAGCGGGTGATCGTGTGAGTTACTGGTCATGTGAACGTGAACTAGTGACTGTGTAAGCTGATGACCGTGTGAGTTACTGGTCATGTGAACGTGAACTGGTGATTGTGTAAGCTAGTGATCGTGTGAGTTACTGGTCATGTGAACGTGAACTGGTGATTGTGTAAGCTGGTGATCGTGTGAGTTACTGGTCATGTGAACTAGTGATTGTGTAAGCTAGTGGTAGTGTGAGTTACTCGTCATGTGAACTAGTGTCTGTGTGAGCTGGTGATCGTGTCTGTGACTGGTAATGGTAACTAGTGATTGTGTAAGATGGTGATCGTGAGAGTTACAGGTCATGTGAACTAGTGATTGTGTAAGCTGGTGATCTTGTGAGTTACTGGTGATGTGAACGTGAACTAGTGATTGTGTAAGCTGGTGATCGTGTCTGTGACTGGTCATGTGAATTAGTGATTGTGTAAGCTGGTGATCGTATGAATTATTGGTCATGTGAACTAGCGACTGTGTAAGCTAGTGATCGTGTCTGTGACTGGTCATGTGAACGTGAACTAGTGACTGTGTGAGCTGGTGATCGTGTAAGTTACTGGTCATGTGAACTAGTGATTGTGTAAGCTGTTGATCGTGTAAGTTTCTGGTCATGTGAACTAGTGACTGTGTGAGCTGGTGATCGTGTAAGTTACTGGTCATGTGAACTAGTGATTGTGTAAGCTGTTGATCGTGTAAGTTACTGGTCATGTGAACTAGTGACTGTGTGAGCTGGTGATCGTGTGAGTTACTGGTCATGTGAACTAGTGATTGTGTATGTGAACGTGAACTAGTGATTGTGTAAGCTGGTAATCGTGTGAGTTACTGGTCATGTGAACGTGAACTAGTGATTGTGTAAGCTGGTGATCGTGTCAGTTACAGTTCATGTGAACGTGAACTAGTTACTGTGTGAGCTGATGATCGTGTGAGTTACTGGTCATGTGGATTAGTGATTGTGTAAGCTTGTGATCGTGTAAGTTACTGGTCATGTGAACTAGTGACTGTGTAAGCTGGGATCGTGTGAGTTACTGGTCATGTGAACTAGTGATTGTGTGAGCTGGTGATCGTGTCAGTTACTGGTCATGTGAACTAGTGACTGTGTAAGCTGGGATCGTGTGAGTTACTGGTCATGTGAACTAGTGATTTTGTAATCTGGGATCGTGTGAGTTACTGGTAATGTGAACTGGTGATTTTGTAAGCTGGGATCGTGTGAGTTACTGGTCATGTGAACTAGGTGAACTAGTGATTGTGTAAGCTGGTGGTCGTGTAAGTTACTGGTCAAGTGAACTAGTGACTGTGTGAGCTGGTGATCGTGTGTGTTACAGGTCATGTGAAAACGAACTAGTGACTGTGTAAGCTGGTGGTCGTGTAAGTTACTAGTCATGTGAACTGAACTATTGACTGTGTAAGCTGGTGATCGTGCGAGTTATTGGTCATGTGAACTAGTGACTGTGTAAGCTGTTGATCGTGTAAGTTGCTGGTCATGTGAACGTGAATTGGTCACTGTGTAAGCTGGTGATCGTGTGAGTTACTGGTCATGTGAACGTGAACTAGTAACTGTGTGAGCTGGTGATCGTGTGAGTTACTGGTCATGTGAACGTGAACTAGTGACTGTGTAAGCTGGTGATCGTGTGAGTTACTGGTCATGTGAACTGGTGATTGTGTAAGCTGGTGATCGTGTCAGTTACTGGTCATGTGAACTAGTGATTGTGAAAGCTGGTGATCGTGTGTGTCACAGGTCATGTAAAAATTAACTAGTGACTGTGTAAGCTGGTGATCGTGTGAGTTACTGGTCATGTGAACTAGTGACTGTGTAAGATGGTGATCGTGTGAGTTACTGGTCATGTTAACGTGAACTAGTGAAAGTGGGAGCTGGTGATCGTGTGAGTTACTAGTCATGTGAACGTGAATTAGTGACTGTGTAAGCTGGTGATGGTGTGAGTTACTGGTCATGTGAACGTGAACTAGTGACTGTGTAAGCTGGTGATGGTGTGAGTTACTGGTCATGTGAACGTGAACTAGTGACTATGTAAGCTAGTGATCGTGTGAGTTACTGGTCATGTGAACGTGAACTAGTGACTATGTAAGCTGGGGATCGTGTGAGTTACTGGTCATGTGAACGTGAACTAGTGACTGTGTAAGCTGGTAATCGTGTGAGTTACTGGTCATGTGAACGTGAACTAGTGACTATGTAAGCTGGTGATCGTGTGAGTTACTGGTCATGTGAACGTGAACTAGTGACTGTGTAAGCTGGTGATTGTGTGAGTTACTGGACATGTGAACTAGTGACTGTGTAAGCTGATGACCGTGTGAGTTACTGGTCATGTGAACGTGAACTGGTGATTGTGTAAGCTGGTGATTGTGTGAGTTACTGGTCGTGTGAACATGTGACTGAGTAAGCTGGTGATCGTGTGAGTTACTGGTCATGTGAACGTGAACTGGTGATTGTGTAAGCTGGTGATCGTGTGATTTACTGGTCATGTGAACTAGTGATTGTGTAAGCTAGTAGTCGTGTGAGTTACTCGTCATGTGAACTAGTGTCTGTTTGAGCTGGTGATCGTGTCTGTGACTGGTAATGTTAACTAGTGATTGTGTA